GAGCTGAGAGTATTACTTTGGATGTCTCATGCAACACTGCAGCTTGGTGAAACAGCAAGGGGTCTGGGACCTAGGTCTGCCACCACTACACTGGTGACTGCTATCCTCAACGTCCTCCGATCATCTCCCAGAGTAAAACGAGGCGGGGTGTGTGGGTTTCTGCAGTCTCTCTCAGTATTCTAAAGTGAACAGCAAACATGATATCATCTCAAATCCTGTGGAGTCTAATGCATTTCTAGTTACGTTGAGTGAAATAAAGCAAGCTTTTTAAGGCATCCAAGTTGAGCTCCGCAGTTGGCCAGACTGGGCCTTTCTCTCTCCCGGTAATGACTTGTCATGTTTACAAACCCGTGTAGATTTCAGTTGGCTCTCCACACTGTTTTGGATTCAGATTTTTTCCTCCTAAAAGAGCAACATGGAATGTAGGCAACCCAATGCTTGCTGGCAAACTGTCAAGAATTAAGTGAAAATTGGCTTAAGTCAGTGAGCCGACTTGATGTCCTCAGAGCTCCTCTCGTGAGGCCAATCCACCTACTGCCCTTGGGGAACCAACCACGATATCTGATGTTCGGCACTGGGTCAGGGCCAAGGCCAGGCCCTTGCCTACCAGGATACTTCAAAAAGCTTATAGAAAAGTGGAATTAGGGGCTAGCACCATTGCGCTGTGGGCTAAGCCACCACCTGTGATCTGGCAGTCCATGAGAGTGCTGGTTCCAGTCCTCACTGCTCTACTCCCAGTCCAGCTCCCTGCTAATGCACCTGGTAAAACAGACTAAGATGACCCAAGTACCTGGGCTCTTGCTACCCATGTGGGAGACTGGATGGAGTTCCAGGCTCCTGTGAACCCCACTAGTGTGTCCCTGTTTGAGGCCCATCCACTAGTCCAGAGATTTTCACCTCTAAACCCTGAAGGAAAAATAATAATACAATCCACATTTGGGCTGGGAGCCTGGTGCAGCAAATGCCTGAGGGCTGCCTATTTGTTTCTATAAACTACATCCCATCCCCAGTGGGGTTTTATGTTGCTAACACTCACGCACATGGCCTGTGCTGTCGCTAACCTGGTGCAAGGATCAGGTTGCAACCTGAAGCTTCTATTTCTTCAGGTCCATCGCAGGAGCGGGGGAGTCCTCCACCTGAGCTAGTCAGTCATCTTTGGCAGGAACTCCCTTCATGTCTCTAACTCTCTAACTGTAAAATGGGGACAATGGTTGCCTTAAAAAGCTGTGGGCTTTGGATATTTTATTATCAGTGTTTAGAACAATGATGCTGAGCCATTTCTAAGTCTTTTTTTCAGAAATGTCTATCCAGGTCCTTTGACCGTTAGTAATTGGCGCATGCTTTGTTGCTATTGAGTTGTATAGTTCCCGCATATTTTGGATATTATTAGATGTATGCTTTGCAAAAATTTTTCTCCCATTCTGTAGGTTTTTCTCTTTGCTCTGTTAATCATTTTCTTGGCTGTGCTGAAGCTTTTCAGTTTGTCTATTTTATCTTTTGTTGCCTGGACTTTTGGGATTAGAGCCATAAAACCATCACCCAGATTAACGTTATAGAACTTGCCCCCTCTATTTTCCTCTAGTAATTGAGATCTTAGATTTAAGTCTTCAATGCATTTCTATTTTTGCAAATGGCATGTGGCAAGGGACCAATTTCATCCTTCAGCATGTGGACATCCATTTCTTCTCAGCAGCATTGAGTGAAGAGACTGTCCTTTCCTGTGTGTTCCTGGCCTCTCTGTCGATGATCCATTGACTGCTAAATGTCCAGGTTTATTTCTGGGCTGTTTTCTTCTGTTCCACTGTTTTATACCTCAACTGCAGGCTCCCTAACTTCTCTGCAGTTTTTGGACTCTCAGTGTAAAGACATAAAGGGCCTCTGAAAAGCAAGCTGTTTGCTAAAACAAAAACTTCACCTATCTGGAACACAACCTCTTAAACTCAAGGCTGTTAACACTGTGGCTGATCAAACATGTTTAGACTTGAGCTCTATTGAGTCATAGCATATTGACTGTAGGAAATACTGTTAGTCTATAAATCGGGCCTATTAGTAAATTGTGAAGCAATTTGTTTTGTTTTGGTCCTTTTTTCTATTTTTCCGAAGTATGCACGCTCTGAAAATCTTTAGGGTGGGGAAGAAAACAATTTAGTCCATTTGCCTTCCAAGTCGATTCCAGTAAGATGCCTCTGATTTTTTTCTCAGACTCAAAGCTGTTTTTTTTTTTTTTTTTATTTTTCTCATATCATTGCTAAGACTACAACATAAAGATGCCTCCATTTTTATTTTTTCCTTCACTGACATCAAAGCTCCTGGGCTGCAAGGGAGGGAGTGTCCCAAGGCCCAGAATCGGCCTCTTCCTGTGTGATGCTGCGTAAGTGACCTCCCCTCACTGTGAGGCTGTAGATGGGTCTATGACCTGAACAGCCAGCACCATCTGCTAAGACCCCACCATAGTAAAATCCCACATAAGATGGCATGATTTTATACTTCTGGCACTGAAAGAAAATGCCAGAACATTCTTCACTTGCTGCAGAGTTTCTATCAAATGCTGAATGAAATGAAAACAAGAGGAAGTCCTATAATTCAAATACACTGGTGTCCACCCCAGTGCCTCAGTGTGTGTGCAAGAGTTAAGTGGGCCTCTGGCCGGCGCCACGGCTCACTAGGCTAATCCTCTGCCTTGCGGCGCCAGCACACCAGGTTCTAGTCCCGGTTGGGGCGCCGGATTCTGTCCCGGTTGCCCCTCTTCCAGGCCAGCTCTCTGCTGTGGCCCGGGAGTACAGTGGAGGATGACCCAAGTGCTTGGGCCATGCACCCCATGGGAGACCAGGACAAGTACCTGGCTCCTGCCATCGGATCAGCGCCGTGCGCCGGCTGCGGCGGCCATTGGAGGGTGAACCAATGGCAAAGGAAGACCTTTCTCTCTGTCTCTCTCTCTCTCACTGTCCACTCTGCCTGTCAAAAAAAAAAAAAAAAAAAAAAAAAAAAAGTGGGCCTCTATAAACCTAAGAGGGATATACCCCGAAACCACAGCATTCTGCATTTCTCTGTCAGTGAAAAACTGATATTTGAACCGTACAAACAGCCCCATAAAGTCTATTAGAGACAGAATCAAATATGTGATAATATATCAAAACTGAGAAACACAAAAAAGCACTTGGTTGAAGAGATAACTCACAGCATTTTATTTAAATTAATCCATTTCTTTCAATAACCTGATAGCACGGTTCCCAGCACCACCAATATTAGTCATTACTATTTCTCTTTGGAAAGGACTTCTTAAAAACTGGGTTTGATTTCCATGATGCTTAACTCCATGGTCAAAAATGGGGTTCCTTAGTGAAAAGCAACTCATAATCACAAGAGAACTAGAGAAAAACTTTAAGACAAATACCACCAGAAACAATTCATAGTCCATATTCTTTTTTCTTTAAAAGACAGAGCAAGCAAGACAGCAATCTTCCATCCACTGGTTCACTCTTCAAATAACCACAGTGGCTGGGGCGGGGCCAAGCTGAAGCCAGGCCCAGAACTTCTTTTGGGTCTCCCACGAGGCTGCAGGCCAAGGACTTGGGCCATCCACTGCTGCTTTCCCAGGCACATTATTAGCAGAGAGCTGGATCAGAAACGGAGCAGTTGGGTCTGGAACCAGTGCCCATGTGTGATGTGGAGGTTTAACGTGCTATGCAACAGGGTCGGTGGCCCCAGTCCATAATCTTTTATATTGTGGTTTCAATTGGAAGCTCTCTTTTGGGGGAGGTAGTTGTTTCTCATAAATGTCTGCTTAATACAAATAACTTGCCCCCTCCCCATATTATGGAAGGGGTATGAAGACTAGTCCAAAGAGAACAAGTAAGCCATCCTCTAGGGAAGGAGGCCTAATAGCTCCTAATGGTGACAGAGTCATCCCACCAGTCAACAGTAGTAAGATATATCCACCAGAATGGAAGACACTAACTTGATGGATAAACCGTGAGCTAGACTCTTCAGAGCTGGAGGAAGACACTTGGAGTCTGGAGACAGTGATGGAGAACATGAAAGCATGAAAAAGAGACAGGTTTCCCACTGGGAGTCTCACCAAACGGTGACACAGTCAGCCAAAGGTCTTGCGGCTGTCTTTTGAGAGGACAGTGTATGCAATGAGTCCTGTAGTTTTCACATAAAAATTGGAATGATAATGAACGAGTAGAAAGTGAAGTCAGCAATCAACACTGGTCAAACAACTCCGTGCACGGCAGGGGGACAGGTAAGGTGGGGGAAGTAGAGCTAAGCTGCACCCTGAGCTGGAGCAGCAATCAACCCCTGCGAGCCACAGGGCACCGTGTCCCGGGGTCCAGTGTAGGGAAAGGACACTTCGGTCAGCAGCAGGGAAGGCCACCAGCCCTGATTCTCAGCGTGCCTCTATGTGATCACTCAGTCTGCCCGTTCCAACTTCCTTATTTTTCTCTGTAATTTGAGAAACAGAAGTTTGAAAGGATAAGATTCTACCTTAGAGGTGCCTAACAAATGTATAAGGAACTGATGTATTGTAGAAGTGTCCCTACATCTTGGTCCAGAAAGATGGAGAGAATTTAAGGGAAGGAGAGCTAACATGGTGGTAGTGCAGCCAAGATGTTTTAACAAGAAGGAAAGGAGCAAAGAAAAACCAACAAGCAAATCTAGCAAGCGTGTGTCTCAGCCCAGATGACAGCAGAGCCCACAATGCCAGAGGCCCTCAAGAAGGTGGGGGGGAAGCCCTCTTCTGTGCTGAGTCCGCAGAGCTGAAGGCTAAAATCTTTTCCTAGTTCCTTAATTTACTTGTAAACTTGTATTTACTTTTCCTATTTCCTTGTTAACTAACTGGTCTATCCAAGCTCAACCACAGCATATTATACGAAAAATGAGTAACTGCAGGGTCCTAGATAGCTTTGAGGGACACTTTTTACAAAATAGAAATATCATTGAGTGAAAATGGCAGTCCCCGTCACCCTGGAAATGTGTCTGAATTAAGTAGAGGAAACTTCTGTATATTTGCTTTTAATTTTGTTTTTGGCGCTTTGGTCTGTAAGCAATCAAGATGGAAAGAGATGCTATCCCAAAGAAGAAAGTCTGTAGGAACCAGAGTAGCTGAGCCCGACCATTTGTGATTCCTTTATATCTAAAAAAAAAAAAAAAAAAAAAAAAAAAAAAAAAAAAAAAAAGTACAAAATATAAGCACCATAATTTTGATCTTATGGTTTCACAGGAAGCATTGTTTATTTATTTATTTATTTATTTATTTATTTATTTATTTATTTATTTGACAGGCAGAGTGGACAGTGAGAGAGAGACAGAGAGAAAAGTCTTCCTTCCTCTGTTGGTTCACCCCCCAATGGCCGCTGCGGTGGGCGCACCACGCTGATCCGAAGCCAGGAGACAGGTGCTTCTCCCGGTCTCCCATGTGGGCGCAGGGCCCAAGCACTTGGGCCATCCTCCACTGCACTCCCGGGCCACAGCAGAGAGCTGGCCTGGAAGAGGAGCAACCAGGACAGAACCGGCGCTCAGACTGGGGCCAGAATCTGGGGCACCGGCACCGCAGGCAGAGGATTAGCCCAGTGTGCTGCGGCGCTGGCCTTATTCTTTTTTAATTTTATACTTTTTCTATACTTCCATCTGTCTACCACCTCCCCACCCTGGTTTTTTAACTTAAAGGGGCAATTTATTTTTTCTCTTCCTTGCTTCCTAATAAATGTATTTAGGATGGTACACTATTCCTTGGAACTAGTCTGGCTACTGTCCAGGTAGAGCAGGGTAGAGCATTATAACACGGTTTCTCATGAGATGACTGAAAGGAGATGGGCACTGGTATGGCTTCAGAGCAAGTGTCTGAAGATGTGAAGATTTGTACCAGATATGAATCCCAGCTTGGCCACCCGCCAGCTGTGTCCTGGGCACATCACTAGTAGCTCTCAGAAACAGTATTCTCATGTGAAAAACAGTCATAGTAGTATCTGTCCCACTTGGTTTATGAGATATATACACAAAGTGCTTAGGAAAGAAACTGGAACATAGTGTTAATATGCAGTCATTCAACTGTCTGAAAGCTCAACAGAAAATGATTCAGCTTAAGTGAACGGCTTGCTGCAGGCTCATGTGTATGTAATTAAGTCTCACTTGCATAAACCTTTTATTCAAAGCAAACTTTATATGCATATATACAAATGGTTTTTTTCTATCAATAAATTAAAGGAGAAAGATTATACATTTTAATAATGCAAAAAATAGGGGTCAGTGCTGTGGCATAGTGGGTAAAGCCGCTGCCTGCAGAGCTGCTTTCCCATATGGGCACAGGTTTGAGTCCCGACTGCTCCACTTCAGATCCAGCTCTCTGCTGTGGCCTGGGAAAGCAGTAGAAGATGGCCCAACTCCTTGGACCTCTTTACCCATGTGGGAGACCCAGAAGAAGTTCCTGTCCTGGCTTTGGATAGCCCAGCTCCAGCTGTTGTGGCCAACTGGGGAGTGAATCAGCGGATGGAAGACTCTCTCTCTCTCTCTGCCTCTCTTTCTTTTTCTGTGTAACTCTGATTCAAATAAACTAATAAATCCAAAAAAATGCAAAAATATCTGATAAGTTTCAACATCCATTCTTCAAAGTTCTTAGCAGACTTAGATATACAGTCGAACATCCTCATTTTGACAGAGGAGATCTATAAAACTCTAGAATAAACATGATGCAAGGACACTGACAGCTTGGCGATCAGGAACCAGGCATCATGTCCACTTCTAGGCAACATGCACTGGAAGTATGAGTTAGTACAACAGGGAAGAAACACAAAGCAAAGGGACTGAACTGAGAAGAAAAAATAAAACTGTTTCTAGAGACACTTGAATGATGACTAGAAAACTGAAAATAATCTATAGATAAACTATTAGAATTAATAAATGAATTTTTAAGGTTGCTACGTATAAGGTCAATATATAAAACTGACTATATGCATATATGCTACCATCAAACAATGATAAAATGAAGGAAAAGTCACTTATAACAACATCTGAAAGTATAGGAAGCTGGATATTAATCAAATAAAGAATAGGAAAAACATCACAGAACTCTAAGGAAATGGAGACAAATCATTTTTCCTGGTTTAGAAGACTTAATAACGGAAATATGCCATTCTGCTACAAATTAATTCATATGGTCAATCTAATAAAAATGCCAACAGATAAATTTTTCATCTTTGAAGCACATGACAATGCACAAGGCTGTGCAAAGGCCCAGGAACAGGTAACTCTGAACAAGGTGAGAGGACGTGCTCCATCAGGTGTCAGTGATTACAAAGCTACTACTGTAAGATAATGTTATGCTGGCCCAAGGACAAAGAAGCAAACCAACAGAAAAGAACAGTGAGTTCAGAAACACAGACATATATGTGGCTATAAGCCACAGCACATTAATGAAGAGTGAAAGTCTCAAGAAGTGGCTTGGGGAAAACAGGGCATCCATATAGAAATATCAAGATAAAGTTGAATACTTGTCTCTCCCAGAAAGTTAGTTCCAGGTAGATTAAAGACCTAAGACCCAGGGAGTAGACATTTAGCCCAGTGATAAAAGAATCTGCCTCCCACATCACAGTGCTGATTGCTCAAGCAGTAGGGTCCCTGCCTTGTGGGAGACCTGGATTGCAAAGGCAGACCTGGATTGCTTTCCTGGAGCCTAACTTTGGCCCTGGCCCAGCTCCAGCTACTGGAGATATCTGGAGCATGAGTGAGTAGAGTGGAGTTCTCTCTCTCAAATAAAACTAAACGGCCGGCGCCGCGGCTCACTAGGCTAATCCTCCGCCTTGCGGCGCCGGCACCCCGGGTTCTAGTCCCGTTTGGGGTACCGGATTCTGTCCCGGTTGCCCCTCTTCCAGGCCAGCTCTCTGCTGTGGCCAGGGAGTGCAGTGGAGGATGGCCCAAGTGCTTGGGCCCTGCACCCCATGGCAGACCAGGAAAAGCACCTGGCTCCTGGCTCCTGCCTTCGGAGCAGCGCGGTGCGCCGGCCGCAGCGCGCCAGCCGTGGCGGCCATTGGAGGGTGAACCAACGGCAAAAGGAAGACCTTTCTCTCTGTCTCTCTCTCTCACTGTCCACTCTGCCTGTCAAAAAAAAAAAAACAAAAAACAAAAAACTAAGCAATAATTAACAAAAGAAAAATGTTTTTTAAAGTTAAATGTTCACTGCTAGTTTAGCTAAATGAATTCTGGAATATACAACTAGAGGAATAGTTTGCAAAATTTAAAACTATTCACCAAACTTTATAAAAAATTATTTTATTTGAAATAAAGGCAGAAAGGCTGAAAGGGAGAGAGAGAAAGAAATTTATTTCCTACCTGCTGGATCACTCTCAAATGCCACCAACAGCCAGGACTGGAGCAGGCTGAAGCCAGGAGCTGAGAACTCGGTCAGTATCTGGGTCTGTCGCATGAGTGGTAGGGACCCATGGGCTTGAGGCATCATCTGAGGCCTCCGAGGGTGTGCATCAGCAGGAAATTGGAATTAAGACCAGAGCCAGGATCTGATTCCTGGCACTTTGATATAGGATGGGGCTGTCCCATGTAGCATCATTAAAAAAAAAAAAGTATTTATTTGAAAGTCAGAGTTATACAGAGAGAGGAGAGGCAGAGAGGTCTTCCATCCGATGGATCACTCCTCAATTGGCTGCAACGGCCGAGGCTGCACCGATCCGAAGCCAGGAGCCAGGAACTTCCTCCAGGTCTCCCACACAGCTGCAGGGGCCCAAGGACTTGGGCCATCTTCCACTGCTTTCCCAGGCCCGAGCAGAGAGCTGGATGGGAAGTGGAGGAGCCAGGACTCCAACCAGCACCCATATGAGACGCCAGCATTGCAGGTCTCGGAGGCTTTACCTGCTACACCACAGTGTCGTCCCTCAAGTAGCATCTTCACTGCAGGGCCAAGTGCCTGCCTTCAAGGTTATTTTAAAAACATGGCAGGGGAAAAAAAAAAAAAAAAAACATGGTGGGGCCGGTGCTGTGTCCCCGCTGCTCCACTTCCCATCCAGGTCTCTGCTATGGCCTGCGAAAGCAGTAGAAGATGGCCCAAGTGCTTGGGCCCGCACCCGCATGGGAGACCCGGAAGAAGCTCCTGGTTCCTTTTTTTTTTTGGATCAGTGCAGTACTGGCCATTGCAGCCAACTGGGGAGTGAACCAGAGTATGGAAAACCCCTCTCTCTCTCTGTGTGTCTGCTTCTCTCTCTGTGCAACTCTTTCAAATAAACACAATAAATCTTTAAAAAGAAAAACAAAAAAATAAAAACATGGCAAAGTGCTTAAGTGTATGATTATGGCAGATATAAAGTAAAACATATAGTCCAATCTTATCTCTGGTTAAAAGAAATTCAGAAAGGTATGTATTTTTAAAACATGGGATTTAAGAGACTATATTATAGCCTGATTGTGTCCGTGAGCTCCTGTTTAGGGACTGGCACATGGAGGGTGCTTAGTAAATGTTAGTTTCCTGCCACCTCCAAGTTCAGTTCTGTATCTACATACAGCACAAAGTACTCTTTCCTACAGGCTGATGACTGAATTAAAAATTACCAGGTATGGATTAAAAAAAAGGGAACTCAACAAAATATTACAAGTAGTTATTCCTGGGCAGTAGGATTTGGGAAGCTCCAAATTTATACCATGTCTTCATGTGTTCATGCATTCAAATTTATTTACTCTTTCATTGATCTCACAAATCAAAAGGAGTATTAATTCTGATTTATAGTGAGCTATGGCACATTCTAACACGTTAGATCCTTAAAGGACCGGTTTTAGGAACACAGTAAGAGAGACGCAACCTCCCTGGGCTTGTTCTGCTTCTCCCTTCAAAGAAGTGTACAACACAACACAGTCTTTTGGTTTTCATTAGAGGCTCCAAATGCCAGTCACAAGAGCTGTCAAGCTGTGGGGCTGAGCCAAACACATGTCCTCAGCTAAGACCTCAGGGAGGCCCAAGAGGCCACTGGGAAGGAGTCTCAGAACACTTGGGCTTTCCTACCACAGTCTCAAGCCCAGAGAACAGTTTCAACAAAGCCACCTGGAAATCCCCTTGCACTCTGGCAAAGGGCGACTGTGTCACTCCAAAGCACAGAGATGGGTTCAGCCTGCCCAGTGGGAGAGCAAAGGAACAGGACTTCACGGAGGACCCCACTAGCAGACGGTCCCGGAGGGGAGAACAAATTGTCCAAAAGTACAAAGAATCTTTTTCAGTACTCTCACACAGTAGTCAGCTACAGTAGCATCTGCTGAGTAGGGTCTGTTTGGGGGCTTTTAACTTGCATTTAGCTCCAGAATTACCTGCAGACCTTCCAGAAAGAACAGACTTGTAGGTCTGAAGCAAGACCTGCCAGATCAATTTTTCTGGTGGAAACCAGACATGTACAGTGAAACAGCTCCTCAGGTGGTTCACTGTGGCATCAAGATAGGAGATTACTGGCCTAGGAAAGTAACTCAGCTCTTTCGCACACTAGGAGGCAGACTCCTAATCTTTTGTTCTAGGTGGTGCTGTACAGACAATTAAAAAAAGTTTAAAAAAAAATAACAGCCTAATGCACTAACGGAGTAAATAATAACTAACACAAAGTAAATGGACTCACTCACCGAACATTTACTGAGTATTCCTGCGTCAGGCCCAGTATCAGGCATGGGTACTCCACACTACCTCAGAGTGCTCTCAGCCTAGGCGTGCATGAATTATTTAAATGTGGTGGCTCAGCTTCTACCAGATACCACGAGAAAGGTGACCAGGACCTAAATAATGACTTACTTGCACAGCACCATGGCATACAAGGACTCTGCCACGTGAATCATCCAGGCAAACCAATACCTGAAACAACAACAACAAAGAGGTTAAGTTGCCCTTGGCACACCAGCATCCTACATTCAGGTGTATGATTCGAGTCTCGGTAACTCTGTTTCTGATTCAGCTTCTGGCCAATGCACACCCTGACAGACAGCAGGTGATGGCTCAAGTGCTTGGATTCTTGCCATCACGTGGGAGACCTGAATGGAGTTTCTGGCTCTGCCTTTGGCCTAGTCCAACTCTGGCTGTTGTGGGCATCAGGGGGAGCGAAATCAGTGTATGGAAAATTTCTCTGTATCAAAGAAAAAGAAAATTTTTATAAGGATTTATTTATTTATTTGAAAGGCAGGGTTACAGAGAGGCAGAGGCTGAGAGAGAAAGAGCGAGGTAGAAGCCTTCCATGTGCTGGTTCACTCTCCAAATACCTACAATAGCTGAAACTGGGCCAATCACAAGCCAGGAGCCAGGAGCTTCTTCCAGGTCCCCCACATGGGTGTAGGGGCCCAAGCACTTGGCCATCTTCTGCTGCTTTCCCAGGCCATAGAAGAGAGCTGGATTGGAAGTACAGCAGCCGGGACTCGAACCGGCATCCATAAGGGATGCCGACACTGCAGGTGGCGGCTTTACCTGCTAATGCCGGCCCCAAACCTATTTCTACAAGTCAGTCTAGTTTAAGGGGGGGGATTGTCTGATGATAAAATCTAACAGAAATCTGGAAAGATTCCTAAACGTAAACTAGAGCCATTCTTCAATACCTAAAGGCAACTGCAGGCCTGCAAGGACTCCAGTGAGACCAGCGTATCGTTTCTGCAGCTCTCCTTACCCGTTGTGCAGGAGGGTGTGATGATGGTCCACCAGGTACTGAGTGAACGAGCCCAGGAGCCCAAGGCTCTCATAAGGGATGCTGTGTGGCCAGAGGACAACCCACTGAAAGAGAACCAGAGGCACAGAGAAGCCATTAGGGCACCTGAAAGACCGGCAGGTAGGAAAGAACACCGATTCTACCAAACTAACTACCGGGGAAACAGGGTCTGAAGGAGGGCACCTGAATCTCCATCCTCTATTTCTAAAAAGCAGCTCCAATGGATGTGTGCCACAAAGAAACGAGGTGATGATCAGGCTCCGTGCACTGGCGGAACGGATCCGATTTTTCATGAATTCCACCCCAAACATTATTTCCTAGACTTGTAGGAGTCTGCGTGCTTTGGCCAGCTTCTGTCCTGCAAACGGTGGCTTGGGCTCAGTCTCGCAGTTAGAATCATGCTCTTCCACTCTTGCACACCACGCAGACACACTCGGAAAATCAGACTCGCGGAGGTTTAACAGCAACTCCTCGTTCATGTAAGATTTTTGTGGTGACCTTACCAACTCCTCCTCAGGCTCTGTTACAAGCCTTTCTGTGAATCTCTGTCAACCCCTCCAAAGTTTAGTGCTCCACTTAGATCTGCACCAAAGGCAACACTACTTCTCCCAGGATGCTGTTTAAAGTCAATATTCCAATAAAGTATAACATATCACTGCGGCCTCCAAACCGCGTGGTGGAGAGGGGCTGGCATCTGCCAGTTCCACTAAATTCCAACTCGAATCTTCAGTTTCCCAGCTTGTGTGTTCGAACAGGGTCGCGGGATCCTGGCACAGAAAGGGCACTCGAGAAAACTAGAGTCCCACACCTCCATCCTGCACAAGGTGAAAGGAGGGCGGAGGTGGTCAGAGCGACGCCGCTGTGGAAATGACACCCGTCCAGGTTCCAGGATCTCCCGGGAAAGATCCAAACTAGCTTCGCCTTCCTCCTACATGATACCGGTTTTCCCCAACCTGTTTCCGGGCGTCTTTCCCGTTCGTTATCCTGGAAGTGAGACGAAAGTCACTCCTCCCCGCAGTAGAGCTGTCCTCCTGCTGTCACACCGGTTCTTGCTCACCAGTGAAATCCGAGCCATCCCTTGGCTTTATCCGCCGTTTTCCAAGCAACTCCCCCTGCTTCAAACACTCTAAACCTTCCAAAACCCCGCTTAGCGTCCGCTGGCGTTCGTAACCTAGGCAACCGCCAGGCGCGAATGCGCACCGACGCCGTTCCCACGGCGCCCCTCGCGCTACGACAGCCCGGAGGGCCAAAACACAGGCGCCCGCGTCCGCGCCCCGCGCCTCACCGCAAAGTATCCCAGCCCCAGCCCCGTGACCAGCGAGGGCAATGGTCTGGCCGTCCGGAAGTAGGCGGTAGCATCCCTTGCGGCCTTCGAGTTCGCCAGCACCATCGTGAAAGACCCAGGCGCTCAGTCCTCAGGTGGGGAGTCGTGCCCGCCCCCACCTGAGGAAAGTAGGCCAACCGGTTTCGCAGGGACTCGAACACCGGCCAAAAGCCTTGGCAGCCGACTGCGCCTGCGCCTCCTTCCGGGTTCTGGCTTCCCTCCCCGCTGGGAGGCGAGAGAGCGAGAACTGCGCCTGCGCGGCCTCTCCTCCAAGTGGAGGCGGAGGCCTGCGTGACAGGAGCGCTCGCTCCAGGCGGTTGTCCCAACTCGGTTGCCCCTACCGTGTAGTAGCCAAAGGAGAGCATGATGACCGCCAACCAGAACACACTGCCCCTCTGGAAGTAGGCCGCGTTGCCTGCCGCTATCGCCATCGCCATCGCTGCAGCTCCTTACTGGGCGGCGCGGCCGGCTCTGCTCCCAGTGCAGTGGATGCAGGGCCAGCAGGGGCGGGCCTGGGCGGCAGCTCCGCCCAACCCGCGAGGAGGGAGGAGGGCCCCGGGCTTGCCAAGCACAGGTGGTGGCCTGACCAGCCCCGTCTTGGCCTGGTCATTATCTGTAGGGGACACCCTTTCCAAGCGTCGCTCTCTGTAACGCTGTCTTTCCAATACATACATGTTTTTTAAAGAAAGATAAATAGGGGCCGGCGCTGGGTGCAGTGGGCTGGGCCACCACCTGTGGCCCTGGCATCCACATATTATAGGCATCCCTGAACTATGACCACTTGACCATGACGGATGTTTTTGATTGCTGTCAGTTTTGATTTGTCAGTATGTTAAAAATTTTCCATCTATGTTCATCAGAGATATTTGTCTGTAGTTTTTTGTTGTTGTGTTCTTGTCTGGCTTGAGTATCAGGGTAAGGCTGGCCTCCAGCAACGAGTTTAATTTTATGTAAGGTATACAAATTTCATGTATTTCATATATACAGATTTAGGAGCATGGTGATCCTTCCCACCCACGCTCCCATCCTTCTTCCTCCTCCCTCTCCTAGTCCCAATCTTAATTTTTTTTTTTTTTGACAGGCAGAGTGGACAGAGAGAAAGAGAGAAAGGTCTTCTTTTACCGTTGGTTCACCCTCCAATGGCCGCCATAGGTGGCACACCGCGCTGATCCGATGGCAGGAGCCAGGTACTTCTCCTGGTCTCCCATGGGGTGCAGGGCCCAAGCACTTGGGCCATCTTCCACTGCACTCCCTGGCCACAGCAGAGAGCTGGCCTGGAAGAGGGGCAACTGGGACAGAATCCGGTGCCCTGACCGGTACTAGCACCCAGTGTGCCGGCGCACAAGGCGGAGGATTAGTCTAGTGAGCTGCGGCACCAGCCATCGAATCTTAATTTTTACAAAGATTTATTTTCAGTTTACTTTATACTCATTATCCCTACACTAAGTAAAGAGTTCAACAAACTGTAGAGACAAGGGCTGTAAACCATCATTGCATCTGAGTGTCAATTTCACTTCTATAGATTACCTTTTAGGTACTCTTAGTTACCATAGGCAGAGTGACAGAGATGGGAGGCAGGAGAGAGAGAGACAGAGACAACCACTCCATGTTCTGGTGCATTCCCCAAATGCTCACAACAGCTGGGGTGGGGCCAGCACCAGGCTGAAGCCACAGTCAGGAAGACTCCATCTGAGTTTCCCGTGTGGAGAAGAGGAACCCAAGTACTTGGACCATCTGCTGCCTCCCAGGCACATTAGCAGGAAGCTGGGTTGGAAGCAGAGCAGCCAGGACTCGAACTCTCCTCTCCCACATGTAAATTCACAGGTAGTGCAGCAGTAGAGGGCTGTCCAGTAGCGCCAGAGGAGTGTGAAGAGATGTCTGCAGAGCAGGATGGCCATGTGCTGAGTCACAGCAAACACCCCACACTCTCCCAGTGTCATCGGATGGGGAGAACAACATGAAGAAAGCATCGTGCATCAGGAGAATTAGGGTAGTTTTTGGTTGCTAGAAGAAACAATGTGAAATTAAATTTCGTTGCTAGAAGAATCTGTGAAATTGTCTGCAGATCAAAACTCTTCTGATTCCATATTCCACTCAATGCAGGGCTGTCCCTGCCTTTCCAGACAAGAGGTTAATTACCCTGATTGGCAGGTGGGCACAGAGGTGTGGTCAGATAGGGGCATGAGGTCACTAGGGGTGGGGTGGAGGCCTGATCTTCCAGCTCACAAATGTGATCAATTTTTATTTATTTATCAATTTTATTTATTTATTTATTTGAAAGTCAGAGTTACACAGAGAGAGGAGAGGCAGAAAGAGAGAGAGAGAGAGAGAGAGAGAGAGTGCTTCCATTGCCGGTTTCACTCCCTAATTGGCCACAATGGCCATAGCTGTGCTGATCTGAAGCCAGGAGCCAGAATCTCCCCCAACACCCCACCCCCAGTCTCATCGGGTCCAGGGACCCAAGGACTCGCTCCATCCTCCACTGCCTTCCAAGGCCATAGTAGAGAGCTGGATCGGAAGTGGAGTAGGCAGTTCTGAAACTGGCGCCCATATGTGATACTGCGCTCCAGGCCAGGTCCTTAGCCTACTGTGCCACAGCGCTGGCCCCAGGAGGTGGTATTGAGATGTGGGTGGGACCAGGGCGGTTTCTTGCCCAAGGGTGTAAAGCTCAAATCATTGTGATGACTGATGATGATGATGCTCAGTAGGTTTCCTGCAGGAATTGGGTATGGAGGACATTCGTTCATAACTGCTTCATGGTTAGGTGAGAGGCGGCACAGAGTAAAAAAGTAATGTTGGCTGTTGTTCTTACTATTGTTGCAGTCTAGTGGATTAAGCATTGAGATGTCTGAGAAAGGGTCAAGCAGGTAGCTAAAGTTCGGTTTGGGAAAATGCACATTCATTGCTGGCGCCACGGCTCACTAGGCTAATCCTCTGCCTGTGGCGCTGGTACTCCAGGTTCTAGTCCAATTGGAGCACCGGATTCTGTCCCAGTTGCTCCTCTTCCAGTCCAGCTCTCTGGTGTGGCCCGAGTAGAGAGTGGAGGATGGCCAGGAGAAGCGCCTGGCTCCTGGCTTTGGATCGGCGCAGTGCTCTGGCTGTAGTGGCCTTTGTAGGGTGAACCAACGGAAGGAAGACCTTTCTCTGTCTCCCTCACTGTCTAACTCTGCTTGTAAAAAAAAAAATAAGAAAAGAAAGAAAAGAAAGAGAAAAAGAAACTCCAATCTCATTAAGTGGGCATTTGACAGAAAATCATTAGGAAAACTCAGTGTGCTGAAAGTCAGTTTGATGAATCACCAGTTTACAGTTTACCAGATTCACCAAACTGATGGGCTGTGGCTTTAACATGTCAGGTCATGGAAAAAAAATGCTACGTTAAAAGAAAAAAAGATTTATTAGGGCCAGTGTTGTTCACTAGGTTAAGCTGCTGCTTGTGATACTCGCATCCCATATGGGCATCCATTTGTTTCCCAGTGGTGCCACTTATTATTAACGATGTATTTATTTATTTGAAAGGCAGAGAGGCAGAGGCAGAGGCAGAGAGGGAGAGAAAGAGAGGTCTTCCATCCGCTGGTCCTCTCCCCAGATGGCCTCAACAGCTGGAACTCCGCTTCTGATCCAGCTCCCTGCTAATGTGCTTGGGAAAGCAGCAGAGGGTGATCCAGTTGCTTGGGCCCCTGTGTTGTACCTGAGTGAGTGTAAACAAAGGAGCACCACACATTGATAAAATTTGATGGTCCTTTATTGCCGGCGGTGGAGAGTGGGCTCATGCCCAAAAGAACTCTTGTCCCTGAAGCCCAAAGCAACAGGGTTTATAAAGGTAAAAACTGAAAATTGGGATGGGAATACATGGTTGCTAGGATCGGGGGGAATACATGGTTATGGGGAACAAGCTGACCTAAAACCGATGCGAAACGAGTATCAATTATAATCTTGACAATGCCAGTTGCAATCTTAACAATTTCAATTATAATCTTGACATTAATCCAGGTATTGGTTTTAATCATATGTAGGACATAGACAAATTACATTTTTATCATTAACCCAGGTGCAGCCTATCCACTTCCAAGCTTGAGCGATCATGCTAGGGGTTTCTATGCTCTGCCAAGTGTGATGTAGTGGACTGCTATTGTTCAACTGTTTTAGACCATAGTTTCAGAGCAGAGCCTCACGG